GTAATTAAGCAAGATGCTTTACCGTTCGTGCATGTGAAGGAAGTTTCCTTCTTCCACGGGCCATTTATCTCCCTGCCGGTTTATTGCCAGATCGTGGGAGGTCCACTGCCCGTTTAAATCCAGCGATGTGGACCAGGCGACGTTGGTGGAGATCACATGCAGTCGATTGCCTTCGTCTAGTATTTGTGCGCACAATCTGCATGAAAGAGGTATTAGTGCTAATTGAAAATAATTAAATACGATCCTGCATGTAATGGGAGTTTCCTTTTCCCAGGGATTGTTTCTCCCACTGCATGCAGGGGCAGCCAGAGGAGAGCTTCGCTGCGGTGTAAACTGCCGGTCTGGCCGGAATCGGTTGGCAGCCGAGAGGTGGCGACGAGGTCGACGAGCGACTGACTGCGGCCCACCGGAGATGCAGGCCGGTGCTGCGAAGGGCGAGACTGACGCGAGCACTGGTGGCCGCGTTTTACTGCTCAAGGAGCTGGAGTTGTGTGCCGGTCAGAGCCGCGCTTGGACGCCCGCGGAGCCGGGCCGAGTGCAGGCAGCCGTGCCTCATCGTCTGAGGAACCGGGCCGAGCGTTGGTCGCCGGGCTCTGCAGCCCGAGCACAGGACGGGCGTTAGCAGCTGAGCGTGTGTGGACGCTGGGTGACGACATCGCAGTTAAAGCTGGAGATGACGCCGGGCCGGACCGCGACGGGACCGTGCGTGGAGGCGCGGTTAGCTTCTTGCTCCAACGCCGGGACCGAGCGGGTGCCTCCACGGGAGAGAATTCTGCCATATGACCAGCGTCGGAGGGAGGAGGTGCCGCTCGTGGGGACGTCGCAGACGAGGCCAAAGAGGACGCGGTGGACCGCGCCGGAGGGCGTTTGTACGAGCTCGCTGACAGGTCGTACACGAGGACGGAGATGACAGGACGACCCACGCCAGTGGCAGTTTGTGGTGGTTGCCATTGATGATGATCCCGTGAGAAGGCAAAAAAGATGGAACGACTTGTTCTTTTCTCTTCTCCTCTGCTTCACGACCGATCATGCATGGGTGTGTCTGATCCTACAGGAGAAAAAGACAAACTCATTGTTAGACAATTTATTGTAAAAAGACTAGATCGAATGAATACTTCCCTGATCCTTTTGATGGCGTGATGGCCAGAACTTCAGCGACCAATTTCTCTGGCGATGGTAGTTGATCCGCTGTCGAAGATTGAAGAAAAACCATTTGCACCATGGCTCGATAGACGCCATGCCCCACGGTGGGCGTCAACTGTCGTGGTTCTAAGTCTGACAGTAAGAGAGGGGTATGAGAACGGAGCATGATCTATCGAGATGCATATGGGTGACACGGTGGTTTTAGCGAGTTCGGGCCTCTCACGGTGGAGATAACAACCCTACGTCTCGTGCTCCGGAGAGGCTTTGTTTTATCTGAGTATATATCCGGAGATTACAATATGTGTGTGAGAGAGAGGAACGGATCCCCATGCCTGAGCTAAGTCCTGAGACTAATGGTGAAAAGAGAGAGAGGTGTAAGAAGAAGCCCCCTTGTCTAGTGGTGGGGGGTGGCTTATATAGAGTGCGCCACCCCCTCACCTCCTATGTTACAAAGTGGGGTATGAACGCCATAATGCCAGCCCGCTATTAAGCCCTCACTATTAGAAAGATGCCGACTGCCTTGCTGCCTGCTGGTCTTCGTATATCCGAGTGAGTCGTACGGTCGAGTGGTGAACCGTCATCCGAGTGGATGGTATGTTGCTTGGTCGAGTGGATAGTATGCTGCTTGTCCGAGTGGATAGTGTGTCTGTATGAAATTGACCTGGACCCACATGTTGTGTGGGCCCCATGCTTCATGATATTTCGACCCTTCGTGGGCCTACCTGTTATGTATATCCCCAACATCTCCCTCGCACAGTCGCACTGCCAGATCGGTTGACCCCGATAGCCGCCTCGTTCCCTCGTCTCCTCGCTATTCCTCACCGTCGCTGCCGTTCGCGCCCTGCACCCCTGCCGTCGCCCAGCCACCGAGGAAGCTCTCGCCTATTCTCCTGTTCTCCAACCCGCCCGTCCGGCCCTCTCTAGGCGCGTCTCCCTGCGCGCGCGGCGAGCCCGTGTCTCAGGCTCCGCGCGGCTGCGCCTCTGCGGCTCTGCCCTGCCGGAGCGCCGGTTGCCTGCGCCCCTGCCGCCGCTCGCCGGGCGGCCCTGCCCTCGTCCCCCTCCAAATCCGGCTGCAGTACTGGACCCAGTGAGGTACCCCAAATTTGTGATCTAGGGTTTGCTTTTTTGCACTATGTACATAATTCTGCACTCATTTTGGCCTCAATTAGAATCATTGTGATCTAGGGTACATAATTCTGTACAAAATTCTGCACTCATTCCAAAGTAGTATTCTTGCAGAATTATTGAAGAATGAAGAGGGCAACATACATTGGTTCTCTTTTCCAAAGATAAGCTATGAAGATAGGGAAGAAGAAGAAGCCAGAAAATATGCCGGATGTGGCTGAAGTGCAGACCCGCGAAGTTGTGTGTATGCCGGTTGTGATCGAAGAGCAAATTGAAGAACCAACATTGTCTATGTCAAATGTGACCATAGAGCAAACTGAAGATGTGTCACCGCCATCACCACCGGTTTATGATCTTAGTCGTCTTAAACATGATCCTGGGGAAAGGCTACCCATTGCAAGTTATCCTATCAATGATCAAGACGCAGTTCGAAGAGCATATATTCTTAAAAAGCCATTCAAACCTTATGCACATGACTTTTAAAAAAGAACAATTGGGAGTAGAGATCGTTCATTCAATCATTTGTGGCTTCATAATCATAGTTGGCTTGAATATAGTATCAAGAAGGAATCTGCATTTTGCTTTGTATGTTACTTGTTCAAAGAGAAAAAGCTAGTGGTAAGGGAACTAATGCATTTACTGATGGTGGTTGGAGTAATTGGAATAGAGAGGATGCTCTTCTTAAGCATGTTGGTTGCGTATCAAGTGTGCATAATGCAGCTCAAGAGAGATATGAGTTATTTGGGAATCCTCGTGCAGCGATTGATGATATTTTTGTGAAGGTGAACAGTGAGGATTTACGTCTTTCCAAGATGAGGTTGAAGTATTCACTTAGATGCTTGCAGTTTCTTCTTCATCAAAGATACCCATTTACTATGTAGGCTTTTTTATGCAAAACTGAGATTTAATTGAGATTTTTACTGTGTTTGTAAGACCATATTGATCTATTTCTATGTGCTATTGGTAATTAGTTAGAATGTTCACATGTCATATTAGTTATCAATTTTTTTAGAGAGGACCACCCTGATGTCATATGCTAGCTCCGCCACTGGATAGGAGGAATATATTACATCAGAGGATTGCCTGGCCTCATGGAATTTGTTGCTAACCTCATCATCCTCTGCTAGATCTTAGGATTATAATTGTTAATCATGAAACTCTTTATCTAGAGATCGATGGAGCATATATCAGGTACACCTGATCGAGTTCTTGTTATATGTATGTATGTCCTCGCCACTGAATCTAATAAGCTAGATACTTCATATTTTTATAATTTTTTGTTTTGCTTTATATACATAAATAATAAATGAAATGGTAATAAGTCAATAAACAAGATAAACAGCAAAGATAGTCCAAAATCGTTATGTGTTGTGACTATACATCTCTCTTGATGCTTCTATGTCCTTACCTGTTGCAAACGTTAACGTTTTTTGTGTGTAAATAAAGGCTGGACCGCTGGACTTCGGCATCTGCATGCTGTTAATTTTTATTAGTTAGTAAGGATGCATATTCTATTTTCTTTTTGTTAAGATTGATGCTTTGTAGGGTAGTAACTCTGAAGGGTGCTCTAGCTAGCTAGCTTGTGTAACGGTGAGTCTTGTTGGCTGATTTGGCATTCGCCTGACACCGTTGATACCAATTCTACCCCTCCCCTCAACCCAGCATGCCACACCCCTATCGTGCCTTGATTAACATGAAAAAAAATCCAGTACCAATTGCTGCTAGGCTGACGTCCGCGTGGGCTCCCGGGTCAGCCTACCACCAGTAAACCTGTGTTCATGTTGTCAAAGGTTATGTGGAGACGCCATGCTCTCATGGCAAATATCATTCACGAATCACGACCATCCAGCCCATGTAAGCTCTTCTGATTAGGTTCCTTCCATAATAGGCCACCATCGTCTGGATTGGGAACCTCTTTCAAGTGTCCGCAAATTTCTTGGTCATGAATTGTCCTGTCGTGCTCTCAGTATCTAATTGATTGTACTGTTGCTATCCTGACCCCCATGACTCGGATAGCTCTTAAGCTGGTGCCTTAAATCTCTTTTGTGCATTCATTTCTCTTATCCACCTGATTATGCACGATTTACCTTTCATCAGCTGTCTTTGTAAATCTTTACCCGGTACTGAAATTCAGAGCTGTTTCAGTGAATCTTTCCTCGCTACTAAAATTCATAAGCTCACACATAGATTGTTGTTCTTTAAGTTATATAGTGCTAGTGATATAAAATGAAACTAGAAATTTATATTTATCAAAAAACAGCAGCAATATTCTCCTTTAGTGCATCACTAAGTTTGCGCAGGGTATAATACAATTTGGCGAGTATATATACTGATTTGATTAGGGAAAGTAGAAAAAACGGCAACGTTTGTTGCTACCCGGTGAAAAATTGCACTTGACAGGCATGTTCATAAAATAGAAGCATCACTTGATTGATAATACCATATATTGTGTTTTATTCCTAGCAACTCACGGGCACCTAACTAGTCTCTTCAATTTACAGAATTGAGTGAACCGTGCATGTATATTATTAATGATTGCTCAAGACTTAACTTTGCAAGCTAGCTTTAGTGTGGCACTTTTTTTCTGTATAAACGAAGTATTTATGCAGTAGATTTCTTTTCTTGCTTCTACTGTTTTAATAATGGGCCCTTTCTACGTTCTTCTGTATTGTTCTACAGCCTAAATATATTGTCTAACAATTGTTGATGTTTGTGTCTGTAGCTCATCCAGAATGCATATCTTTGTCAAGAACCCCACCGGCAGGACAATCCGGATCAAGGTCCACTCATCAGACACCTTGTACACCGTCAAGGCAAAGATCCAGCAGCAGTACCACCTCGTCTTTGGTGGGTTGCAGCTAGAAGACAACCGTACATTGGCCGATTATGGCATCGAGCATGACTCTACGATTGACCTCCAGGAAAAGATGCAAATTTTCGTTACGGAGACGCTGTCAGGCAGGACCATCGCCCTCGAGGTCGACAGCCTAGACACTATTAGCAACGTGAAGTCCAAAATCCAGGACATGGAGGGCTTTCCCAAGGGCCAGCAGTGCCTCATCTTCGCCAGCAAACAGCTGGAGGACGACAACCGCACCTTGGCTGACCACAACATCTGGAAGGAGTCCACCCTCCTCCTTGTCCTCCGCCCATGTAGGCCAGGAGAAAGTAGGATGATGCACCTCTTTGTCAGGACCCTTGATGGGAGGACCCTGGACCTTGACGTCAGGAGCTCGGACACCATCAACACTGTCAAGGTGAAGATCTACGAGAAGGATGGCACTCCCCCTATACAGCAGCGCATCATCTTTGCTGGCAAGCGGCTGGAGGATGGCCGCACCCTGGCGGACTACAAGATTGAGAGCGAGTCTACCGTTGATCTGGTGCTCCGCCTTTGTGGTTGCTGAGCTGGATGGCCTGCCATTCAACAACTAGTTTTATTCTGCAGGAGCCTTCCTTCCAGTAGTGGTGCGTTATCAGTAAACTATCATTCTAGTACTGTACGTTAGGAAAATCCATCTTATCACCCGGTGGTAGTTACCCCACATGTCTCATATACTACCATGTGGTACTATATATACTATTTTATTATTTTAAATATGTTCATATACTATATCTAAGATATTTCAAAGCAAGTTAAATGAAAAAATTGCATATGAGCCCATAGTTTTTGTTATATTTGTAAAATACATACATATTTGTACGTAAAAATGAGCATACTCAAAAAATTGTACATACTACCTAAAAATTAGTATATATACTACATAATCATTGTTATGTACTACATACTACACGTACATACTCTCGGTTCCGACAGATACTACATACAACATACAAAACGCAAGGTGGTGGTAACTACCACTGCTTGTAGGAAACATTTGTCTATATATATATATCCTCCGGTATTGTTCCTTCACAGTATAAGTGTGGAGTGTTATCATCAAAACTACGTACTAGCGGTATCATTTAGCAGTTTGTTATAGTTTGTTAGTGTGTTGAGTCTGTTTATCCATCTATCATGCCGAACTACTATTAAGAGTCCCTGGATCTGTATTGTCATCAGTTGATTGAGAATAACAGTCTGTATGCAGTTTGACCGACAAATAGCCTCCTTTCTTTACTCATTTATTTCCTTTCTACATACCCAAATATTTGTATCCATGTTTTCGATCATCTATGACATGACAGTCAAAATTTGAAGAACCCACATGAATGTCACTTTGAGCTGGCATTGGGTAAGAGCTGGAATCAAGTTGTCCTCGTCCTTGCCTTTGGAGGAGGAGGACGGCAGCGGGAGGACCGGGACGGGGGAGTGGTGGAGGATGAGAAGGAGGCTATGGACTTCCACCATCCCCCCACACCCCGGAAGGGGCGTCTTCTGCCCGGTGGCCATGTGGTCTTGTGTCCATGGCCGACCGGGGTGGCTCCGGACTCTCGGCATGGCCCGGAAGCTGCGCTCTTTCCGGCTCATTCGGCTTGCATGTGCCTTGGTGCCTCCGCGTCCCCACCCTGCTGGTGTCCTTGGTGCTCGTCCATCTCGATGCATCCTCGATTGTGGTGCACTCCGGGAGCTGCATCCCCCCTTTACGGCTCGCCAGCATCCTTGTTGCTCTGGCCCCGTTGACCTAGATCTGTGCTACCCTCCGGATGCGGGCCTCCGGCCATCGTCCAATTCCTCACCGCCCCTCATTATGCCCAGCCGCCCACTCTTTTGCTCGCACTTCCAGCGGCGCCCGGCGGGCGTGGTTCCGACCTATGCCCGACTCCCTCTTATCCGACTCGTGCTCCGACGGCTTGGGACTGCTCGGACTCTAGACAGGGAGAAATCGCTGCATTCTATGCTAGCAACGATGACACCGACGGTGGCCATCCCCTTCTTGGAGGCGTTGTCATGGCCGTTACCTGGTTTTCCGGATCGGACGGCAACGGCGTCTCGGCGCTGTACTCTTTCGTGAAGGCATTGTCTTGGTTGCTCGCAGTGTCCTCGGGGCTGGATCTGAAGATGTTGGTCGTCGTGTTGTTGGTCTGAACTACTTCTTAGGATGGCGGGTTTAGTTGTGTTTGTTTTCTTGATTGGGTCGAGCATCTCATGTCTCCCTGCTTCAGACACCATGTTCACGCCTCTTGCGTCCGTGTCATGTGTTGTATCTCGCCTTGTACTTGTTCTAACTTCTTCTATCAATGAAATAATACGCAAGCTTTGCGTATTCGTGGAAAAACGAATAGGCCCACTTCAGCCACCATGGAGCATTGGGAGCATAGTCACCTGTATTGCAGACCATGGTGGGTGGCAGCGACGGCAAAACTTTCAGGAGTTATAGAAGCTCTGGTCATGCAAGAGGCCAGGAGAGGCTGTGGTGGGGCTCCACGTAAACATACATCTAATAATGCACGACTGGAAGACGATGATGATCTTGATTCTTGCAGTGCTCTTGCGCCCGACGGAGTTGGGTGGATGTGTCGGACAACGAGTTCTAAAGCTGTAGAACTTCTTCCTCAAGCTTCTTGCAGACCTTGTTGCGACTCCGGAGCTACGTCTCAAGGGTTCCGGTCTCATTACGAAGGCGACCCTGCTCGCTCTTGCTAGGGTTCGTAGGGCCTCACACGCATCCCGCTTCGTCTTCACACTGGCTTCGAGGTCGTGGATGGCCTCCTTCAGAACACTAGCCTCCTCCCCAGCAGCACGCACGACGTCTTTGGCCTCGTCATTCACATGGTGGGCATCCTCGAAAGTCTGTCAGAGCTGTGCCGCTTTCTCGGGGGCTGCAAGGCAGCCCAAAACCAGAGCTCAATAAAAAAGAAGAATAGCAAAGGGACAATATGGAAAAGGAGGACGGGAACTTACAGATAGAATTAGTGCATGCGCGCTCCAAGCGCTCATTGGCTCACCGCCGAGCCTCAAGCTGTTGGCGCAGCTCCGAATTCTCGGCGGCCGGCTTGCGGTTTTGGCATGTCAGCCCCTGCGAAAAGAATGAACGCATATTCAGTAAACAAGGGGCTGATAAAAGCGGAATGCTCGGTTCAACATAAACTAAGCCCGATTCCATATTGGTACCGCACTTAGTCTTGGGGCTACAACTACCGTAAGCACAAATCAAATGACAAAGATAGGAATGACTAACCATGAACCCGGGGTCCACCGACAAGCCAAGCTTCTGGATGGCGGATCAGAAGAGCTTCAACTCCTCGGCAACCCCGCCCATAACGACCCTGGTCTCCTCCGCCACATCGGCCCCAACTCGCTTCCCTTTGGGAAGAGAGACGACAACGACACCATGACTGAATCTGCCACCGCCTTCCTCTTCTTCTTTTGCCTCATATCCAGGCTAGTGGCATCAGGCTTTGAGGCATGGGCGGCAGGATTCAACGGAGGTATAAGGGCAACAATGGCCTCGATCGCAGTCTCCACCGTCGGTACCACCTCAGGCGTCTCCACAGCTCCAGGAGCGCTAGTCCCAACTTCTTTGATGCCAACAGCGACAACTTTCTTGGCTATGGGAGGCGCATGATCCTAAACCCCCACCTTGATGACAACAAGCAGGTTTGGAACATGTACCCCTGGCACAACCATGTCGGCGGTCTTCGGAATGGCAAGAGAAGATAAAGTAGTTCAACACCACTAAATAAGCAAAACTAAGATAGTATCCTACCACGTACAAGTAACAAAGGAAAACAGAGTCTTGGCGGCCTCCAGCGAAGGCTCCTGCTCATGTCGCGCGGCCTCTGGCATGCCGGACATCAGGTGCAACGACCTGGGCTGTGCCCATCTATGTGTGTGTGTGAGTGGCCTGCTGGACCGGCCCATAGTGGCTTGTAATAACATATAGCCTAGCTCGAGGAGAGACGAGGCATGATCTGTAATGACTGATACTTCCTCTGTGCTTATTCTTCCTCTCCACGCAATTCACCTCTGTCTGTAGCTACCACATCCTGGCGTGACGCAAGGAGTTGATGTGATCCCATAGCACCAGGCGGCAGCAGGGGGCATGACTGAGCTGCCCGCTGTGCTGACCTCCTTCATGGACCGAGCGAGCCTGGAATCGCTAAGGCTCGAGAAGAAACACCTAAAGTTACTATGTAGGAACAATGTCAAGACGCAGGTGGAAGACTTACCGGCCTTGCGCAAGGATGTTGCGCTTCGTCAGCGGCTTGACGGGAATCGCCAGTAGTGGAGGTGCCTCAAAACCTCCCCAACGTGCCTCGCGCAAGGATGGTGCGCCTCCTCAGCGGCTTGACGGGAATCGCCAGTAGTGGAGGTGCCTCAAAACCTCCCCAACGGGTCCTGCCGCTCATCTCCGAACACGCGGGGTCCTAACTTTAGTTACTGTATAAGAGCTTCTACATCCGGACTTGTTAAACCTGTCCCCCTATACGCCCACGGGCGCGTTCAGGCGCAGTTGTGGACAGCGCCCGCCGGCCCCTCATATGCTGCCCCGGACATCCACATATCTCAAATTTCGATCCTCAAATCCATGCAATCCATGCACGCCGATCAAACGATATAAATTGTCGGAATTGAAAAGTTTGAAACAAAGCAAGCAATTCATAGTTCAACGAAGCGGACATGCCAAAATGAAATCAATATCCGAGCGTGACGGATGTCCTCGGATCATTGGCCGAGTGCCTGCTCCAGGCGGAATGTGTCCTGCTCATCCTGCTCCGCCTACATCCGAGCTGCCTGCTCTGTCTGCATCCGGGCTGCCTGCTCCGCCTACATCCGGGCTGCCTCCTCCGTCTGCATATGTATCGCAACCGCCCTCACCGCCTCGTACTCTCTACGTTCGTTGATCTCCTTCTTCTTATCCGGAAGCCACTTCTTCGCATGCTCATCCAATAGGGTTTTGTCCGCCAACATGATCCTCGCATCCTCCATGTCCTGTGCGAGTTACAACCTCTTCTTCTCAAGCTCTATCTCGCCAAATGTCCTGGGCTTCTCGAGTTCCCATTTGAATGCCGCTTGTTGCTTCTCCAACTCAATCTTATCCCGCTCAATTTCGAACTTCTTCTCCACCCTCTTCCGGTCCCACTCCACCCTTTCCTTTTGCAGATTCAATATGAGCTTATACCTCTCCTCCTTGTTCTCCCCCGCTGAAAAAATGCTCGTCCATGTGGACGTCATTTTTGTAGCCGCGACGTCACGGAAGGCATGTCCGCCGGCATTTGCATGGGCGGAAAGCTCTCTGGAATCGCCCAGTCGACCGTCGAATCCTCCTTTGTCCCAACGGGGTCGGACAGCGTAATCCGCGTCGACGCTTGAATGGAAAGGGTGCCGGGATCCTGGCACGGTGGAGGAGACAGCTGCTCCACCATGTTCGAACCTCCCTGGGACGCTGCCACCGCCTCCCTCTCTTGCTGCCAGCATAGCCACAACTTCCGGGTGACGTTCTCTGTCTTGCAAGTCGCAGCC